TTTAGGTTGTGAAATTGCACCAGCCATAAGTGAGTGCAATTTGAATACCTTTTGAAGCATCACAAGTGATCATAAATCACGAAATACACCAAAAAGGCAGGCATTGTGATGCAGTTGTTCATTTCATTTAAACTGTCCTTTTTTGTTCCCTAAGGCCACATTTTAATGGTTTCGGGTACTTGAGACAAACCTCCCCATTAGACAACTCTAAGGAGCATTTTTATGAAATTTGACATGTGCTAACCCTCATTTGACCAGGCCAGGATAAATATTTGACAAAGTGGCATATGACAGGAAAAGAATAGCTGTAATATGCACATGCTCTGGTTATAATGTGCACAAACATTTTCTGTTCGAGTTGTTTCATCTCGGGTTGGCAAGACAAGGTGTTAACACGAGGAAAAGTTGCCCTGCCTGCCAGGGTTACCCTACCTGCCAGGGTGAGACAACTCCCCCCCCCTCCCGAGTTTTGTCGCCTACCCCTGATGAGTTTCATAACCTCTTGTAAATGGGCGGCTTAAGTTTTTTAACGAACTAAGTGAAAAGTTAGCTCACCCAGGCTAACTTAGCGGAGAGGGGTTGTCTCGGTTACCGAGACCACATAAATGAGGCTTAAGTGTAGACCACAGAGCAATCTCCTCTGTTCATAATTGGGAGTTCTGTCCACCTTCACAAGTTTTTTTCCTTTTTTTTCGATAGAATAGTATCACTTCAAGCACAGTTTGTAGAGAAATTTTCTTCTCAAATACATTAATGATTCTCCAGTTAGCAACTACACCCCAGCCCCTCCCCCTTTGTCATGTACAGAATACTTGTTCCGTTGTACAGATCTAAAATTATATCTGGTTCACTGTGCAAGAGTAAATCAGAATAACTGGCTTCTTTCATAATCAGCAAGTGGGGCAGGGTAGGGGTGACCTGGTGCCCTGTCCCGACCTTGTGGTGGAAGTACTTTTGTACTCTCCCAAAAATTTTGTATACATAAATCCTAGGCTTGTCTTATTTGATAGGCTCAACATCCGCCTTTTGTTAATTGATTGCGGTTTTCGATCCTCTCTAGAAGGACGCGAGCCCGGGCTCGTTTCTAAAGTATCGGTTATGAACCGAGCACCGAGCTTGTATGATTGTTTGTAACCTGTAAGACAACTCGGGTCTAACATCCTGAAGGCGAACAACCTCCGTGCCACTTAGTCATCACAACTTTTGCACATGGGTAGACATTTGGCCGCTGTGCTATTCCAGTATGACCGCCAATAAAAGATAAAGTTTTGTTCCAGAGTTTTGCGGCTTTCCTTGGAACTGCCAAAATGTCAGGAAAGGTCGCAGACTGCCATGTACTGCTTAGAATGATTAGGCGGATTTAAATGTCTAGCGACTGGTTTGGATGCGTCTTTGTCATCCCTTTCTGCGTCGCGGGGGTGTTCTCGGAATCGGTCACCTAGTCATCTTCCTGTTTCACCGATGTATATCTTTTTGCCATAGGCGCAAGTTATGCAATAGATGACCTTGGCGGAAGTGCTTGTGAAGTGAACTTATTCCAGAGAGATATTCTCGCCCATTATTTGTTCCTTTTGCTGTTGATCACTTTTTAAAAATAAATTTTTTGTTAAGATAGGTCACCCAGGAAATTAACCTGAAAATGTTTCTCTGTATATATGGAAAAATTCCGGGTGAAATCATTACGGTTAAATGCGGGCAGTTTGCCAGGGAAAAGATCCTTTTCAAGTACCGGCATTCTTAACTTCCTCTCTGCTTTGAAGCGTTAGTATGTTTACCTACATTCTATACTTCAAGTAAGAGTGACTGTGTTTAATTTTAAGCAAGGTTTTGTGCTCCGGTTTTTGAAGATATCTTGATTGGGGAGTTGTTCTATGCAATTATTTTGCTTTCTGGATAGCCCAATACTGATTACGCAGGGACTTGCGTAGCGGAATTGATAATTAAATTGTAGAGGCGATAATAGGATTTACCAATTCGTTTTTAAGGCAAACATTGGGGGTGAGAAGCTAAAAGAATGGAGCCATAGGGTAAAATATGGACTGGACTGGACTGGACTGGACTGGACTAGACTATTTTTTGGACGATTTTTCTGGACTATTTTCTGGACCATTTTACAAGGGGGGCGCACCTTAAGTACTCAGGAAGGGGTGGGTGTAGTCGATAAGTACTGAGGAAGGGGTGGGGGAAGAGTGTTATTACTCAGGGAGGGGTGGTAGGTGGTTTTAATTGTAAACACTACTGGTTAATGGAGCTTTTACTCGATCGTAATAATTATTTTAATCGGTTTTTCGACTGACTTCTCGTACATCAACATTTTGCGCTGCTCCGCAAAAAATCGTCCAAAAATTAGTCCAAATAGTCGTCTAAAAAATCGTCCAAAAAATATTCCAGTCCAGTCCATATCTTACCCTATGCCAAGAATGTCATCTGAAGGTCACTGAATCGTTACGAAGCGGTTTCAGTTTATCTTTGGTAAATGTTTTCATTGGAAGAGCAACTTTGTTTATCAGAGAGACGATGATAACGGTTTGTTTTGATGTGACCGAATATAGATTATCTCGATTGGGGAGCAATAGACTTCCGTGTGGGAGGTCGAGGGCTCTAAAAAAAATAAAACTCGGGACTTAAAATAATTCAAGAGAGAGAGCTACTTTCCCAATGACGTCTGTAGATGGTAAGACGTTCTCCACTACTTGGAAAATGTCTATATACCGAAGGACTTACTTGCCTTCCGCACATAGAAGGGCTCATGTCTTTCAATGTTTAGACTGTTTAAGCCTGATCTTTGTTTGAGTCTCATCAGGTCCCCAACAACGAATCGGTGCCAAGATTTCTACTTGACAAATAGACAAAGCTAAACAGAAAACAGACATATAGATTAAAAATATCGGAAATATAAAGCAGGGCTTGTAATAGCCATCAATCACGTGTTGGCCCTCAGACTACAACACTTACCAAAGAGGAGACAAAGAAACAAGACAGAAACGGAACAGAATATGATAGTTGTTAGCCTTTGGTGTAAATTTCTTAAGCTACGTGCCTAAATTTGAACGTCAGACGTATTCTCCTTGAAATTTAACGTTTGGGCAGTAGACCTTGATTAATCTTGTTATCGATCACGCAACGATTGGCCATGCGTAACAATTGCGAGTAATTTCAACAGACTACATGGTGACTTTGTTACAAAACATTGTGTATCGTAGGCGACTGTTGGGATCATACTGATTTTACCGGTACTCGTACTTTTACCTGCTAATGGAGTTAAGGCGTCAGAAATCTGATTTGACCGATACGGCTAAAAGAGCTCTTGCGACGAATCGAGGCCAGTCGGAGTGTTTGAAATCAACGTATGGATTGTTGGAAAGCGAGTATAAAAACAAGTGCTGTAATCTGAACGCTGAGCAGGCGCGATTTCTTCGAGTCATGAAAACCAAACTTCCAGCGATCAAAGTTTCTACGGATGAATGTGAGTTACCGAAGTCTAAGCTCCTAACACCACCGGATTCTCCTCGCATAGGGAGATATCGTGCCGTGACATTGCCAGTTTTACACGACAGTTGGAGGAGATCGAAGTCGTTCTCGGATTTGTCGGAGGTGCTTGGCCTAAACGAACTAGCATCACCTCGCGAGAAGACGACGCGAAGACAAAAGTCTTGGGAGCAATTGTATGATGAAAAGCTAAGCGACAGGCGGATTAACACTAACGTCCCTCGTGCAAGAAGTTGGTCGTATTTAGACTCATCGAACTTACCGGTAAAAAGTAGAAGTGAGAAACAACCAGGACAGCCGTTTGATAGTGCTACAACGAACAAAATCTCCTTGAAAAACTCTGTGGCACCATCGAGGAAGCTCTCTACCCCGGCAAGATTGACTCCATTAAGCATTAACCGCGTTCACGAAACGAGAAAGTTAACAAGTAAAAAGCCCATCGATAAGCAGTTGGAAGATGTTAAGGATTTAAGATATCTTAGAAGTGGAAAATATACCAGTGAAAATGATGCTGCTGAAGAGACTAGTGAAAATGCGAAACTTTAAGCGGCAAAAGAAAGATGGTAAAAACCATCCTTGTATAATCTAAGAAGATTATTTTACATATTCGTGAGAAAGTTGCATGGTTATCATGTGTGATAATTGGCTCAAATGAGCGTGCTCACCGGCTTGGAAAATAGTTTAATGTCACGATTAGTATAATTTTCCGTGATGAAGTATATAGTATATATGTATTGAAGTATATATTTTTGAACTTGTTGACGCCCCAACTCATAAAATTCTCGTGTTTCTCGCTTCCCAGAGTCGAAGTACTCGATTTAATATTGGGAATTCTACTTGTAACAGAGGTCGATGCGATCTCGAGTGGCTACGTTTTAAAAATCTATGGCTATTTTTGATTTGTGACCACATTTATCCTTTACGCATTCCGGTTTTCAAACGGAAGTTTTCCTAAAATAATTGTCTACAGCTTGTAGATTGATTCCGTAAACAGATAGGTATTTCAATTGGCTGGGTCGTAATGACAGGGTCAGGGCTGCAAATAACGGCCGGTCAACGGACAATGTCCGGTCAAATTTTCATCTTGTCCGATCCTTTACCGACTCGTTCAAAGAAATTTTAATTTTTAACTGTTTGCTAATCACAAGGGACACAGTCATGTTTCCAAAAGAAAAAAAAAAACCAATATAAAAGTAGACAAATTAGTGGTCGAGAAATTCCCGGCAGTCGCAAATTTCCGCGATGTCATCAAGTCCTGTCGCGACCGCAAATCATCGTGTCTTCCGTTATTTTATTTACTTTATTTAAGTGTTCCCAGTTAGTAGAGGGTTTTACCTTTGGCTAGATACCATCATTTACTCTTAAATAAAGTGATTGATTGTTTGATCGATTGAATGGAATGAAAGCACCCTCACGAAGAATAATCTTGTTGCATCGAGAATACTCCAAGTAGCATTTGTTGCAAAGTGCAAAAAGCAAGCAAAAGGCCCAAAACCTGGAGAATCCGACCACTCTTTTACTCTAACAAAAATTCACAACTGTAACTTTAAAAAAAAGGGCTCTGAGTGTAATATTTAATTTAAAGTGATTTTGCAAGATGTAAAGTAAATTTTTTGCGGTTGTATCTTGCGTAACCGTTCCACGTACTCAAAGCGAGGCTGCTTCTGCAGTAAAGAGTAGTAAAATTATTGACTTGCAATTTTTATTGCCAGACCGACTTGGATTCAGTTGTTTTTTAGTTGTAAAAGGATTACTGTGCAATCTGGGTTCACTATCGCAAGAGTTCGGACTGTTAAAATTTGACCGGCCAAAAACGGGTAGTGTCCGAGCAAAAGCATGTTTGACCGGACAACGTGACCGGCGACTGCCCGTTAGTTATTTGCAGCCTTGCAGGGAAACTAGTAGCAGACCGTAACATGCTTTTTCGAAAGCACCAAGGACTCTGGACCCATCTTTTTTAGTCTTCTTTAATAGCTCGATTCTTGAATATATAATTCTTTTGCATCAAATTCACTTCACTCTCGCTAACTCTAGTCGTCTGACTCAAACTCTGTACTGTTTCTTATCCTTTGATTCTTGCTGACTACCAACTGTAAAAACTCTTAATTGCTTGCTAATATATTCCTTGTCGGTAAGCATGTCTGGGCAGCCGCATGCTGGTTAACTGACCTTGGAAGATTAAACATATGTTGTAAGAACACAAACCAAGCTGAACACTCCTACCAGAATCTTCTACATAAAATGATAGCATTAAGTTACGCAATATTACATTGCGCACTTATTTTCAGTTAGGAACATGTTACATTACCAAGCGTTTAAACTCCCATAGACGGCGTTGAACAAAGGTAACGGGCTCTGTTTTCTCAAAGAAAAAGGGTTGGGAGGAAAGTGGGGTTTGTAGACCTCTCCCCCCACCAACACGTTTCGATGTGAATAATATCTCCATCGGAGCATAAAATTAGCTTGACAAGGCATCGAGTCTCTGATTCTTTTAGATGAAATGTTTCGATTGAGTTATAGGGGGTTTAGCCCTCACGAAGAGTTTCTAAACTCTTTTGCCAAAGAGGCAAATAATTGGACTACTTTGCGGTCCCAGTGCAATCCTCTTGACTTAAAGACCTGCGAGGTAGATAATAGTTTCAACTGTCTTCAACTGGTTTGTTCTTGGCCATTTTAAAGGCTTGTTTACTTCTCGAGCAATAATCTCTATGGGTGGTTATGTTTAGGTTTTTTCGATTGACCTTTCTCTAAAAGGTCTCGTGCAGATATCGATGTTTTAATCGGAAGGATTCATTTGTTGTTCATTTGCGAGAGTCACAATTGTGTGAGTTAATTTTCTGTTGAATAGGCCTCATTCATCAAGTTCATACACAAAGGGCTTCACTTTATAGTTATGCTTGATGGATAAACTGACAAAGGACAAGAATTTAATAGAAAGTTACAGACCCTTGGTGCTTTCCGCTAGACTTGCTTTGCCTAGCGTTTTTTAAAAATGCTCTCAACATTTGAAAAACCATTACCCCAAGACCGCGCTCGTCGAAATCTCATGGTGAAGGACTTCCTTAGTGGAGAACTGTCCCTTAATGAATAGTAATCAGTCAATTTTGGACTCACTACTCACTGTTAAGAGGTTTGCTTGTGCAAGCGAACTGTGCAGGGGACATTTTGGAATGTTTGAATTGGTGCACGGGTTTGGATTGGGGTGCGATTTCTCAGCCCACCCTCCCCTACCCAACGTCTTGAACGCCCCATAACACCTGAAAATATGTTTAAATTACATTCTAATAACCAAGAAATTCGACAACATCACAACCTTTTGCAAAGTTTTCAGACAAAGTATGCATGATGACCACTATGCTTATTTATGACGACTAGTAGAACTAGTTAGCCGAGTGTTCACACATTTTTTGTAGGAGGCGGCGTGGCCGAGTGGTTAGGGTGCTGGACTTGTAATCCGGTGTCCCGGGTTCAAGTCCTCCACCCTGCCACTCATTGGATTTGTTCTTGGTTGCCCCTAGTTCAACTCCTTGGCTGCGCTCTGTAAATAGCCCACTGGTCTGCCTCCTGCCAGTGGGGATTTTTAAGCTCTTAGTTAGTCTACATTGTGGTTGAAAAGCCCCTAAGGGGGAGCTTCAATTAACGTACATTATTATTATTAATATTATTATTTGGATACAATGTATATATGAAGTTCATATATTTTGAACTGCGGTATTAGATACGTATGATGCACGATCCTTGCAGTAGAGAGCGCTATTTATGCAATAGCGAAAATCAGACCTGAAAAAAATCAGGGTACAGGCCTGATTTTTTTCCAGGTCTGATTTTCGCTATTGCATAAATAGCGCTCTCTACTGCGAGGATCATGCATCATACGAATGTTATTATTATGGAGTATACACGTTTGNTGCATTCCCCTTTTGACAGAGTTGTGAAGTAGAGTCAGGTGCCGATCATTTTCAATTGCTTCCCTGTAGAAGAGAAGCTGGCAAAAAATTTCGAGTGCGCCTGTAAGTTTTGATCAAAGTTAACGTAGCTAAATAACGTTTCCATCTATCTCCTAACCATCCATCTGTTGTACCGCGTGCATCCATTCATCCATTCAGTTCACCCATCCATCTGTTGTACCGCGTGCATCCATTCATCCATTCAGTTCACCCATCCATCTGTTGTACCGCGTGCATCCATTCATCCATTCAGTTCACCCATCCATCTGTTGTACCGCGTGCATCCATTCATCCATTCAGTTCACCCATCCATCTGTTGTACCGCGTGCATCCATTCATCCATTCAGTTCACCCATCCATCTGTTGTACCGCGTGCATCCATTCATCCATTCAGTTCACCCATCCATCTGTTGTACCGCGTGCATCCATTCATCCATTCAGTTCACCCATCCATCTGTTGTACCGCGTGCATCCATTCATCCATTCAGTTCACCCATCCATCTGTTGTACCGCGTGCATCCATTCATCCATTCAGTTCACCCATCCATCTGTTGTACCGCGTGCATCCATTCATCCATTCAGTTCACCCATCCATCTGTTGTACCGCGTGCATCCATTCATCCATTCAGTTCACCCATCCATCTGTTGTACCGCGTGCATCCATTCATCCATTCAGTTCACCCATCCATCTGTTGTACCGCGTGCATCCATTCATCCATTCAGTTCACCCATCCATCTTCCTGATCCTTAAGACTTTTTTTTTTTTCATTTTTCAGCTTGCAGTGAAAACCAGCAGTCGACAGTCACGCTAACTGAGCGAAATGGCACAATTTTTCCTGGATATTTTCCAAAAAATGCGACATGCAACTGGATTATATCAGCCCCTGTAGGAAATGTGTTCAGGATATTACTCACCGTCTATGTTAACAGCCAAAAGTTACCCTGTAGTGGTAATTTTGTGAAGATCTATAATGGAAACAATGTCGGCAGTGACGTAATGTTTGAACATGACTGTAGCAGGAAAAGGGATTTCTCAGGGTACTTTTTCTCTTCTGGTCATAACGTGTTATTGGAGGTAAAGACCGGAGGAGTGGAAAGGTCGACGGCATTGTCTTTGACATATGCAATATTTGCTAAGCAAGGTAAACTGTAACTCAAATATAGATTATTAAACTACTCAAATGTAGATTATTAGAGTATTTCTCGCCCCCCCCCCCCCTTAATGAGGGTGCTCATCTGCCTTCGAGCCCATTGCCCCATAATGCTTAAGCTTATCCCGGTTTCAATAGGATGAAGTCACAATGCGAGATAAGGAAAACTCAATTGTAAGGCAAAGCCGGAATTTTTTTGCGACACTTGGTGAAAAGTTGCATTGCCATTAGTAACCACGAATAATAAAGTTAATAAGTGTGTGCCATTTTCTAGAGCTGTGTTCTACAAACAGCACCTTGGACGCTCCGCTGTCGCCAATGGAACGTAACTTCACCAGTCCTTACTACCCCGATGGCTATCCCTTAAACACAACTTGCGGATGGTACATCACAGCTCCCCAGGGTCACGTGGTTAAGCTTTTGATAACACAACAGCTGGATGTTCGTGACAGTGTGGAGGTGTTCGATGTCGATGGCTCCCAACTCATCCCCATTGATCTTCCTAAGAATGAGCTTTACTCAAAGTTTCAATCTGTCTTCGTAGTCTTCAAGAGCGATCAGAGTCCACGGACATTTCTAAACGAGGAAAAGGGGATACTTGTCCGTTACTCCGCAGTAAGGAAAGGTAATTCTTTCGTGGCTTAGGAAGGGACAATAGAGGCAGTTAGGGTTGAACCTCAAAACTACAACGGGTAGCGAAAGTTTTGGCAGGTTCTTTTTTTTTTTTTTCTGAATTTTCCCTCTAACATTCATTATTTCTATCTCTCCCCCATTTCAATATTGCCCGGTGTTACAAAATAGTCACAAATTACAGGCGACATTGTATGGGCAGAAGGAGGGACTTGCAAGTATTAGAGATGAATTACTAGTTTTCCGTCTATAATGTTGAGTGGGCGGTTGTCGAAGGGGAGACGTTCTGATTTCTTTCGCCACTCATTGTCGCTCTAGAATTGTTGGTTGTTGTTACTATATTGCTTGTAGTAACAACACCTCCGCTTCTGTGATTAGGGACTTTAAGAAACCACGACGGCGACGCCAAGGAAGACTTCGATTAAAAAATGAATTTCTACTCTTAGTTAGAATTTCAAAAATGGCTGCGCGGGAGCTTACTGTCTCATACAGCGCCACAGCTCAACTTCAGTATGACGTATAAAGTAGCCGTTGAGTTCCAAATGGAAATTAAAATAATTTGCCGTCGCGGTTTCGGTTCGCAGACGACGCAAATTTTGGCGATTTCACGTTGTTGTTTTGCATAAGACGGCTAAGAAATGTACAAAGTTTCAAAACGCACGTGCTGAGCTATTGTTCTGCCAATTAGATCTCTTGTTTTTCCACGTCCTTGTTGCCGTCGCCGTCGTGGTTTCTTAAGGTCCCTATTATCTGGATTATGACTGACCTTGCTGACTATCTAACTAACGAACTGATTGACTTAATGACTGACGCACTGTGTGATTAATTAACTGATGGTTATTTTCTTTTGTTTTATTTTATCATTTTCTCTACAGTAACCACCTGTTCTTTTGGAAACTCTTACGACGAGAACATGAATATCTTCTTCGGGGATTCCTCAGGAACAATCGAGACCCCCGGGTATCCAAGTGGTTACAATGATACCCTGATCAATGAGTGTTCTTGGAAGATAATTGTGCCTTCTGAAAAAGTAGTACGAATAGAATTCACGTCCTACCGACTTGGACAATACGATTATGCTGAAATCGCAGATCGAATAAATGGATTACTTCCTATTTCTATTTCCCTTTCTGGTACAAAACCATCGTTTAAATTCTACTCGACCGGACGCGAGCTTAGTATCAAGGTGAGAGCTCTTTCACTACAACAAAGTGGTCCAGGATTCATTGCAGACTACGCTGCAGTGCCTGCGGGTAAGTCGGTCAGTCTGTTATTCAACGTTTCCGTTGGTCTGTCCGTCAGTCAATCTGTGACTCAACGTGTCCGTTAGTCTGTCCGTCAATCTGTGATTCAACGTGTCCGTTAGTCTCTCCGTCAGTCAATCTGTGATTCAACGTGTCCGTTAGTCTGTCCGTCAGTCAATCTGTGATTCAACGTGTCCGTTAGTCTGTCCGTCAGACAATCTGTGATTCAACTTGTCCGTTAGTCTGTCTGTCAGTCAATCTGTGATTCAACGTGTCCGTTAGTCTGTCTGTCAGACAATCTGTGATTCAATGTGTCCGTTAGTCTGTTCGTCAGTCAGTCTGTGACTCAACGTGTCCACACTGTAGTATCCAATTGCTATGGCATGTCATGGGTCAGTCATACAGTTAGTCAATCAGTCAGTCTGACAGCCCGTCAGTGAGTCAGTGAGTCACTCAGTCTGCCAGCCGCTTAGTTCCTTACTCGCTCATTCATTTTCCCCAAGTAGTCGCATTGAATCAAATAATCAATTAATGAGTCAGAACGTCGGTCAGTCAAGCAGACAACGAGTCTTTTCATTGAGTTGTTTCATGAAGAGGCCCACCGATCAGTTTTACGCGGTGAGACCTTGCAGTTTTCCTTTCCTTCCCAAGATCTTATTAATAATTCCCCGTACTGTCTATACAATTTTCATATGTTAGTTCTTAAATCTTGCTTTTGAATCAACTGATAATACCCCTGTTTTTATTTCTCTTTATTCTCGTCACTTTCCTGGTTGTTATTGTATTCATAGTGCAAGGAGAAAGTCTTTCTTAGTCACTTAAGGGAGTTAAAGATTAATAATAATAATAATAATAATAATAATAACTTGTATTTATATAGCGCTCATATCTTAAACTCATGGCGCTTTACAACACTGTACGGGGGACTTTACCAGACTGCTAAGCAGTTTACAATCAAATGAAAGCGAATATAACAGATACCCCCTCCCCCCTATTCCCAGTAACCAGGCCAGACCACATCACAGTAATCTCGTGAAGTGGGTTCTTTAACGTCCCCTGCCTAACCAAATTAACTAATTAATAGCTGCAGGAGACGGGACCTCCATTTATTCGTCCCTATCCGAGAAGACTAGAATATCTAACCATTTCTCTTTTAAGTGACCTAAACGCTAAAGAAATCAATACTGCATATTAAAATACTAAAATATTAAATATTAAATATTAAATATTAAATATTAAATATTAAATATTAAATATTAAAATACTGCATATATAAGTGACCTAAACGCTAAAGAAATCAATACTGCATTTTTCAGTTGCATCGGGAACCTGCGTTCTGAGAAAAAACTCAGTGTTGGATATGACTGGTGAAGGGCGAAGCTTCTCAACTCGGGGGTATCCTTTCATTGCGGAACAAGGAACATGTACTTGGAACGTCACTGTGAACCCAGGCGAATTCATAAAACTCACATTTTGGAACATCAAGGGTAGATGCGCAGAGAACTTTATTAAGGTCTTTGATGGAACAAATTCCACTCCTATTTCCTTAGGAAAGTTTTGCAAGAAATCCTCCGACTTAGTATACTCGCGAGGTAACAATTTGATGATAGAGTATACATCTCGCTCTTCCAAAAAGGTTACTGGTGGATTTTTCGCCACATATCAGTCCATTCAGGCAATCCCAGCTAATTACTCTTGTCAGATAACTAGATACGAATCAAGACGCGTTGAAATGAAAGACTTCGCTGGCGAATTCGCCAGCTACAATTATCCGCTGCCTTATTCCAATGACGTCAAGTGCTTGTGGGTAATTGAACGGCAGGCCGGTCACGTGATCCGTTTGACGTTTCAGTTCTTTGACTTACAACAATCTGAAGATTGCGAAGGCGATTACGTGAAGATCGAGCAGGGATCGTACTCTTGGAGGACTCCAGTTGGCAAATTCTGCGGTTCCTCGCTCCCTGATGTCATTCAAGTGAATGATTCAAATATGTACGTGGATTTTGTGAGCGACAGCTCCGGAAAATACCCAGGATTCCATGCAAGCTACCAAATACTTCCTGATCGTAAGTATGGCAAAATTAAAGAAGCTTAGTCACTATACCTTCATTTATTTTTAACGTGATGAGGAAGGAACGATGTGACAGATAGTTTCAACTGTTATTGGGAAGTTCCTGTTGCTAACTGTGTATTTTTCTTCTCTTTTCTTTGTGTCTTCTTTATACTCAGCCGCCATGGGACCATGCAAGAACCCATTTCAGAACAACGTGATTTCTCTGACTGGAGAAAAAGGAGTGATTTTTTCTCCTGTTTATCCGCGCAGATTTAGCGACAGTATCAGGTGCACCTGGATAATAACAGTTTCTGAGAGACGTTTCGTGAAGCTGAGAATAAAGTCCTTCGATTTAATCGATTGTTCCCAGTCCTCCCTCACTATTCGCGACGGCCGAAGTTCATGGAGCGACTTACTTAAATCTTTTTGCGACGGAAACTTTGAAAGCTCAGTGTTTTCCAGCTCTCGCCACCTTTGGGTTCAGTTTGTTTCTGTTCAGAATCGTGTTGGAGCGAGTTTCTATGCTGAGTTCGAGGTTGTGAATCAAGGTAAGAATGTGGATAATTAACGAATGGTAAACACGACAGCGTACACTATTGAGTTATGGATGCACGCGGGAGGTTGCTAAGCACGACTGTTTCATTTCCATGTGTGTAATAAATATATCTTATTAGACGTTTTGTCGTGTAATATCGCTGAGTATTTTTACGAGTTGTGCCGTATTTTGACGAGCCCGTAGGGCGATTAAAAATACAAACAACGAGTAAAAATACTCGGCGATACTACACAACAAAACGTCTAATAAGAGATTTATTATCCAACACGCCAAATTGTTATTTCAGTGCGGGTGAATTTCGCGGATATTTCTGGAGTACAAAGATCGCGTGATATTTGTACTCGTCTTGCGCGTTATTTGTACTCTACGAAGCACAGTTGAATAATAACAGCTGTTATTTCTTCTCTTCTTTGCAGTACCAGCCTCGTTCGCCTGCACTGCGAGTAGTCAACGCGTCGCTTTTACGTCAGAAACGGGAAGCCTGGCCAGCTACAACTACCCTCTGCCTTACGATGACGCTTCCGAGTGCGTTTGGATCATTCGCGTGGACAATGATAACAACATCAAGCTATCCTTCGACTCCTTTAATCTGTCTCAGTCCGACGAATGTTCTGAAGATTATGTGGAGGTACGCGACGGCCAGTTTGACACCAGTGATTTGTTGGGAAAGTATTGTGGATCACAAAAACCTTCAGCCATTACTTCGGATGACTGGGAGCTTCGCGTGGCGTTCAGGTCCAGCGGAAAGACAAAATACCCCGGATTCAAGGCAACTTTTGAAACAAAAAGTGAGTGCAAATGAGAGTGGGTTTCAATGCGATGTTTTGATACGACATTGGGTGTTGTCTCAGAAATCAGAACCTAGCTGGGAGGGGAAGCCCGATTAGACTGGACGGGTTTTGAAACCTTGGTAAGCAGTACCAAAAACCAACAAAAATTACTATAAAGGGGTCAGTTATTGTACTACCATTTGAAACATTGGCCACTTTATAGTAACAAATCGACAGTGGTTTAGCATGGTCTGTACTGTTATCGACAACCGAAAATTGGCCAATCAGATCGCGACGTTACTGCCAATTGTGGTAAAATAACTGCTGATCAAAACAGACATTAAAACAACAAAATTCATTTCCACTTTTGTAAGGGGACACAATCTTTGTTTAACCACGAAGAACAACAACATTTTCCATAACCTAAGAGTTAGTTTAGACGCGCCAAATTTCCCTCCGGCTTTTAAAAATGATTTTTTTATATGAAATATTACGCAATATTTATCCCATGAAATATTACACGAGGTTAGATGGAGAAAGCCATGCGGAGAACTAAATTCTCCAAACCTTATGGCCAATTTGTGGATTTTCGTGATTATTTATGTCATATCTTCCCTCATGCAGGGTCAACTGGAGCCATTTTGAAAATCGTGGGAATTTGTGTCGGTGCGCTCTCAGCTGTAATTGGAATCATTGGAGCTTGTCTTAAGTACGGTAGCTGCTGCAAGAGCGATGAAGCTAGAGTCGTTCGAGGAACTTTTGGCGACGAGGCAGAAGGTGTCCCTTTACAGGAAGAATCTACCAAAGTATAGCTGCTACTGTTATTGTCAAAGAGGTTGTGACATTCCATTTGGATCGTAATTTTCTTGAAAAGGATTTCAATTTCCCTTTTTTCCTCATTTCCTTGCATTCAATTCTGCTCCCACTCGATGAGCAATATTCCTTTTTTAAGTTTTGAAGTCTTTAGTAAAGCATAAGATAAAAGATACATATCCTATGTTACATAAACGAAAAACTGTGTAATGAAAGTACAATAATATACTATGGCAAAAATTAAATTATGGAATTATAACAGGTTTGTAATTGTAATTATTAAAAACTGGATCATTGGATAATGCAATTCAAGACTTTTTATTGGCTTAGCCATTATGGTATATTAGCCAATATACCATAATCTACAAATATGGTAAGCGTACGCGTCAGCCTAAAATCAAAAGGGAGCTAAAAAATCCGGTTTCTTCTTACAAAATGATAATTTCTTGGGGGCGTTTTTAATAAAACAATTATTCCACTCGCGCTTGTTGGATATGAGATGATTATAGCCAACTCGGCGCTACGCGCCTCGTTGGCTATCTATCATCTCATATCCAACGTGCGCTCGGGGAATAATTGTTAATTATAACATCTTTACATGCTCACTTTGGAGGCTGGTTGGCTGCATGTGATGCTTTAATGCATGTGATGCTTTAATGTGACAGCGTGATGCTGTTAGTGAGCTTCTATGCGCTAGCTGACGTTTGGCTGTGTAGCCGCGTGATGCGGTTCCAGTCAATACCCACTAATTGACCCTTGCTCGCCATAGAGTCTCTTGTAGCTCAGTGGTTAGAGCATCCGACTAGATCACGGAGGGTCGTGGGTTCAAATCCCATCTGGAAACTCGATTTTTAAAAAAATTGTTNATAATTTCTTGGGGGCGTTTTTAATAAAACAATTATTCCACTCGCGCTTGTTGGATATGAGATGATTATAGCCAACTCGGCGCTACGCGCCTCGTTGGCTATCTATCATCTCATATCCAACGTGCGCTCGGGGAATAATTGTTAATTATAACATCTTTACATGCTCACTTTGGAGGCTGGTTGGCTGCATGTGATGCTTTAATGCATGTGATGCTTTAATGTGACAGCGTGATGCTGTTAGTGAGCTTCTATGCGCTAGCTGACGTTTGGCTGTGTAGCCGCGTGATGCGGTTCCAGTCAATACCCACTAATTGACCCTTGCTCGCCATAGAGTCTCTTGTAGCTCAGTGGTTAGAGCATCCGACTAGATCACGGAGGGTCGCAGGTTCAAATCCCATCTGGAAACTCGATTTTTAAAAAAATGTTTATTTCATCTTATAATAGGTTGTGTTAAAAATTAGTCTAGTTACAAATGTGTTCATGAAACGATCTGTGTTAATCTTTAGGTGGAGGCAAACCTTGCGACGTAAATTATATTGCTGGGGCTTAGGCTTCGGCAGAATTTCATTTAACGGATGATGGCTTAGGGCCCTAGCTCCACTAAATAATTTCTAATCCTGCATATGCATGATATCCTTTACATTCGATGGAACTGAAATATAACGCCGCTTGTAACATCTGTTTTAAAAGTTCTGTTGTGTGTTTAGATCGCTTTCATACGCACCTTACACTGAATGGCCTTAAGTTGAACTAGGTAATGACAATTGTCTTAAAAAGGAGATCTATTTCATTCTGGTCAAATTGTTCTTTTCTCAAAATTCTTAATATATGGAGGCACTTGTTAGCCTTAACTCCTTCATTATGCGTCTCTGATTCTGGAAGTTGTTTTATCCATCCATAGGCCACATGAAAAGTGGCCGGGTCAACTGATGTGATCGCCCTTTTGTAACTGTCGAAGGGTTGCTTGAAGTTATCTGTTACAAAGGCGTCAAAAGCCTCACAGACACTTTGAAACAAAACTGCCTCTCCTCTCTCGATAAGTAGATGAGAAGCGGAGGTTCCCTATAGGCGGATTCATGCTGACGTCATTCTTTAAATTTTTGCTCATTTGCATACGGCTTGCGTAAAGAAGGAAGCCTGTTAGATACAAATTGACTTCAGGCAGCTAAAGAGCTAGAAAACCTTAGTACATAGTGAAATTTTTAGGTCTTTGGGTGTAATGTTCAAGGAGAAATAGTCCATCAAAAACTGCAAAATTTCTGGGTGGCAAAAGCGCTAATGAGCTCATACATTCTATGTAAAATTTTGAGTTTTTGAACCCGTGTTGCACAAAAAGTATTCAATGCATCAGGCTCGTATTCATTGGCCGAGTTAATCGTACTTTGACTTTTCGATATTCAGAACTGATTTATTTTTAGCTCCATCAGAAACTGAATTGCTTATGCTAATGAGGCAAATATTGAAACAAGGATTCCCTATTTGACTATGTGATTGATGATTTCTGTCGTTTGTCTCATTCAGTTTATGGGAAACATTACTTTCATCTTTGTTTTGTCTGTTATCGCACAAACTGTCTTACTTTTATTATATACAATGAAATATATGAAGTTCATATATTTTGTACTGCGGTATTAGATACATATGACACACGATCCTCGCAGTAGATAGCGCTATTTAAGCAATAGCGAAAATCAGACCTGAAAAAATCAGGCCTGTACGGGATTACTTTTATTATATTTTGAGCTTTAGCCCTTCGTCATTCACTCAGAAGCTCAAACGCACAAGAACGTCAGCTTTGAAATTCTTTACGGTTGCTGGTGTACATTATAAACTCAGTTGATAAAACCAAATTAACTTTTAATACCCTGCCCTCCTTCCCACCGACACAGCCCCAAGGTTTCTTTGAGAGACTTATGGTATAGCCTTATTGCCATTTCCAATTCCAAGAACTTGACTGTACTGTCTTTGGATAACTGTTCGTCACAGGTGATGGAATATCTTGTATGCTTGCATTTCCTGCAAAGACCTCGAGGGAATGCCGAAGACGAGAGAGCTGGTGCTAGAGAGCTAATGCCAAAAGAAGAAGCTGTATAATACGTTTTGCAGAGAGAGGATGTATTTCACTTCAGAAATACTTGTGTAGGTGTTTTTTCTTATGGTGCATGAAGGCGATAAAATACACTTTTATGCACAGACATATCAAATAAAGTCACATGATCTCTTCATTTAAATTGAACATAATAGAAATCTTAACCCTAGAGTGAACGTGTTTTGTCAGTGTCACTTTTTCCACACCAGAAATGGAAATATCATGGCTTCATTTGAACTGTCTCCATATTCCAGGCCACTGACTCAAAGGAAAAACAAAACTGTTGGATGATGAAGCATCACAACTTTCAAATTGTCGCACTTGAATATCAATTGTTTTGAAATCCAAGTATTCAATCACGTTACTACGTACTATCGGTCTCTGGTCTCTTTCTTTTTCTTCTACTACACGATTGTTAAGGTCACGTGAACATATAAAGGTATTATGCAGGCGCACGCGCTCGATCATTACACGTTAGTAATGGGTGTAATTTGCCTCTATGACGTCAAATAAGTTTAGTTACTCATTTCTTCTTTGCGAGAATGTTGCGTTTACCGAATGGTTAACTCAGCGTCCATTATGAAGAAGGTAACAGTTGGTATCAGTATTCTGCTTTGTATACTGATATGTTTCAGCAGCAAAAGCGAAGGTAAGAATAGTGTTTATTTTTAATTTGCGCGCGTTCTGTTCGTTCGCTTTCATTTTCCTGGCGAAACGGCTTCATTTTGCGTCTGCACAATCATGGGTTTTTCGGTTTGAATGACAGGCGAGCTATTATGATTTGGTGAAAATGCAAAACAAAAAGCATTTCGAACAAATAGCAAAAGCAATGAGAAAGACTGCAAAGAGCGTTGAGTTCGATCAAACTTTGAGTTAGGTGGATTGTAGCGCAGGGATGGCGTAGTGCCGAGAGCGCTCACTTACCAGCACTGTGGCTATGCTTGTTTGATTCCCGAACCGAACTTCACGTGAGAGTTGAGTTTGTTGTTTGTTCTCGTCCTTGCTCCGCGGGTTTTACTTCGGGTCATCCTGTTTCCTCCCTCCGCAAAAGCTAACATTTGAAATTCCATCTCGACCTGGAAACAATGGACAAGAAGAGCCACTTAGAGGAAAGTTCATTGCTGAATTCCCACTTTTAATCCCTGGCCATTTTCATTTGATTTTAAAGCATTTCAAAGAAAAAAACAGAGCAATAGGATCAATCGCATCATTTGATCTCGATCAAACTCTAGATTATGTGGATTGTAGTGGAAAAAAATTATCAAGGCTCGAAACAGTGCATTCTAGTGAAAACAGTGTTAAAAGAGTAATCAAAAGAGACAACAGGAACAAACTGATGTCGCCAAAGATTCTTCCTTGATTACGCGTCCCTAAGATTGCGATATCTGAATTGAATTTGATCACGTGAATAGAAATTAAGTATTCACGTTCTTAACGTGCGATATGAAAAACAACCGGAAAGTGTAAGAATACATGTCGTGAAACTTGCAGTTCTCTTTCAAGTGTCAGGATCTCCCAGACTAAATCTTTACCCGTCAATCAAATAATCTGACTGCAGCTGACACTTGAAAAAGAACTGAAGAAAACTAGCTTTCAGGAAGCTCGAGATGATATGGATAAACTGTTGTGGATGATTGGTAAGAAACTGAAAAACCTCGGAAAGAATTAGTGAACACATCTCTCCAAAACACAATTGTGACCAATTTTTAGTTGGGCAGAGAGAGGAATAAAGGGAAAAAGTTTTAATTATTTTAAGGTAATTGTTACGAAGACGTTAACGAACTTGCGCGCGCGTGCTTTGGGTTTACGTAGTTTAATAATATGGTAAGCAAATCACGCGGACCCTTTTTGTTCTGACATGTGCAATTTTTATTGAGAAGAGTTGAAAGTTTTTTAGCTTATCGAGTAGCGGTTTGTTTTAACGGTAGTTATCGTTTACCGTGAGTCTACAGTTTTCCGTGTTGGAATTAAAGCGTCTGTCTGGATTTTCCGTTTCACTTCCAAACAGTATTCGATTCTTCCTATGTTGCGCACACGTAACATTTGTTTTTCGAACCAAATTTTGGATTAATACGACAGAGAAAAATGTTTAAATACCGTCACATGCGATGCCACGTAGAGAGTTACTGAAAAGTGTGAGGAAACATGCAACACTTGTAGATTATCTTTTAAGTTTCAGAATCTCCCAGAGAATTTAAAAATGATGAGTTTTACCACAATTGGAAGTAATGTCGCAGTTTGATTGGCCAATTTTCCGCTGTCGATAAGAGAGCACTGAAAGAATCGTTTTATTCGTGGTCGATATTGCGGTAAAAACAAATCGACGGTGGTTTAGCATGCATGGTCTGTCCTCTGATCGACAACGATATTCGTCATCACAGTGGTCAAAATTTGTTGCAGACTCACTCGGCTGTGCCCCGTGTCGGCTGTGCCCCGTGTCGGCTGTGCCCCGTTGTCGGCTGTGCCCCGTGTCGGCTGTGCCCGGTGTCGGCTGTGCCCGGTGTCGGCTGTGCCCCGTGTCGGCTGTGCCCCGTGTCGGCTGTGCCCCGTTGTCGGCTGCGCCCCGTTGTCGGCTGCGCCCCGTTGTCGGCTGCGCCCCGTTGTCGGCTGCGCCCCGTTGTCGGCTGCGCCCCGTTGTCGGCTGCGCCCCGTTGTCGGCTGCGCCCCGTTGTCGGCTGTGCCTCTTCGGTGCCCACAACATTTTGGCCAGTGGGATGACGATTATTGTCGTAGATAACTGACTACGGACCACGCTAAACCACCGTCAATTTGTTAATTACCTCCGGCTCTCAGTCAATCAGACTTTGATTTTTCCTTAATAGCAGTAGCATAGTCTGAATAGCCGAAGCTGCATTTTTTAGCATAACCCACTTTAACTTGTCCAATGTTGATTCAGTGCATTCAATTTCGTTTTCTGGCTGTTTGCCGTCTCAGATGCAACACAGTGCAATTGAACATATCAGTCAAAAAAAACGAGAACAAATCGACGAAGGTAAGGATAGATACTCTTTGGAAAGCAGCCAGAAGTGTTAGAAAAAAACATGTTATAACAACCTTATGTTCTCTTTTAAGTTTCAGGTTTATCAAAACCTTTGAGCAAAGATAATTCGGCCCTAGGCTCTCACACTGCCGTCCACGGAGGGCGCATCTCTACATCAACCACCACCAGAGAGACGTCCCACACAACTGCAGACGATGCACAGGCCACCAGAAAAAATATAAAAGATATCAAGCCTATGGAATCGGCAGCGAATAACAATCAAGCAAACCGGGAGGAAATACAAATGAGAAGAGCTGTCAATGAAGACATCAAAGAGCATCCCGGTATTGGAAAAAAACTTCCATCAAACTTAAAGTTGAAATCCCTTTTAAAAGAAGCCATCAAACGCGGACAAGACACTGCAGCTTCTCAGAAAGCACTTGGTACGGGTAAGAGAAAGTCAATGATTATTAAGAAACTAGAAAACCAACTTCTGTGAATCGATCTTTTTAAGGCGCTCGTTGTGTCTATTATTTGGGTGGAGAGAGAGATAGGGTGAATTAACTGTAACTATTGCAACAGTTGTAGAAATTTTGTGAGAACAACCGGAAACCGGAAAGTGTAGGGAAGCATGACTCGTCACCCATAGGCTCTCATTTTTAGATTGAAGTTAAATCCTCTTCGAGAAACGTTCTTGTAGCTTAACGATTCATTCGACAGTATGAAGCAACTTCGGGTCTCAGCTCAAATGGCAATCAGATAAACAGAGGAGACCACTTCAAGATCGTGTTTTACTTTAGTCTTGTGCATGTCCTGCTCGAAGGTGACTCGGGCCAATCACAGGACAGGTTCTTTTCAGAGAGTTGAGCCAATCATAGGGTAGGTTCTATTCAGAGAGCTGGGTCGATCTGAGGAATGACCTCAATCTTTACAACGACCCAGATTAGACTAAGCAATGAGGTCTCACTTTTAGTTCAGACTCTTTTCAAGCTAATATTGCATATTGGTTGTCAAAGTTCAATTCTGACAAGTCTTACATTTCTCCTTCAAATAACAAGATATTCCCAAAGACGGCACCTCAGGTAAAACTGGACAGAAATCGTCCAGTGGAGATAACAAGGAATCACACCAACCAGATGATCACCCTAGGATAAAAAGCAGCGAATCCAAACCGCGTGGCACATCTACGGAACAAAAACAAGAGAGAAATACTCAGCCCGGGAACATGGCGTCTGCTGGACCCCGATGGAGCTCAGCCATGGATTATGGACTCAAGTCTCACCATGAAGAAAGAAAAGTAAAAATAAAAAAAAAGAAAAAAGGGAGACTAGAGTCCCAAACTGAGACTAAAGATCCAGCAGACAATGGATCCCTGATTATCGTTGGAGGACTTATAGGAGGAATGTTTCTGTTTCTGGCGATTGGGGCTGTGTTTTATTGCATTTGGTAAGCAATCTTTTTCATCGGTCATCAGTTGGACCACATTTCATTTAAAAATTATATAAATAAGAGAAGAAGCTCACTAAACATTTTTTTAAAACATTATTTCCAGTCAGTCAACCCGGACTTGTGGTTGGGTTACGGAAAGTCTGTTAGTGAGCTGGATTTTTCGTTCCAGTTTGTTTTCTAGTGACTTTGGTCGTGATTGTCGGTCGAAACTTTTACAGGAAAAATTGCAGGAAGAGAATTGGACGAGATCGAGGCGATCCCGAACGAGGCCGGTTATCAGCCTCGAACCAGGCCATCGCGGAGGACGGGGATGAAGATATTATCTTTGAAAGAAAACCTAAAGGGTGGAAAAAGAAAAACAAGAAAGAAGATAAGGAAGGTAAGCCGAGTGTAAGTCTTAGATGAAAAATCCGGGAACTTCAGGATAAAAGAGAGGTTTGAAAAGAGTGAGAGAGAGAGAGAGAGAGAGAGAGAGAGCGAGCGTAAAACAAACAACGAACGAAAAATGAATCACACTATTTGCATTAAATGTCGACAAGACCATACGGTTGAGGAGAACAACCAGCCGGAGCTCAATTTTGCCGTCAGAACCGACTTTACTCGCCATTTAACGAATCTTTTCACTGTTCATTGAAAAAAAATAGTTAAAAAATTAATTGACCGCGGCCTAAGGGTATACGATTTCTTTGGTGTACAAACAGCTAAAATGGAAGTTTCAAAGTCAAGTGCAAATGTTGTGCTTAGAAATGAAGCAATGTGAAGTGAGCATGGGTGAAATGATGAGTAGCAAAACCAAGTACATCTGAGTAAATCTCCCATCAAAATTTAACCATATTAACGAAAAGTGTTCGGTTTGTAACACTAAAAGATTTTTCTTTGCTCTTGCCACAGATTCCCCAGGTAAAAAAGTAGGATTGAATTTGGAAGTTTCCCAATCTCCCCCGCCAAAAGGAATACTTGAAGGTAAGGAAAAAAAGAAGAAGAAAGGCAAAGCTCGATAAAATCTATTTTAAATCTAAAACAAACATAAGAAATCATAGATTATCTAACTGAATTGATTAGAATTGTCCATATTTACCACAGGAGGTCACGACCGAGAAATACGAGTAAATATGGAGCTCTCCGATTCTTCGCAGCCTGCCTCGTTATCATCCCTGTCAGCACCATCACAGTATTCTTCCCTCGGTACGCCGCACTCCACCCCGACAATTGGCTCTTCTATGGAATACATAACCCTCGTAGACTCTCGAAAAGATTCTTATCTGCGCGTTTGGATGCCGCAAATGCAATCCTCCGGATCTTCCTCATCAAGTGATGTGAAGATTGAAGTTGACCAGGTGGCTCCACCTAAATCGCTAAACATTTCAGGTAAATTGATCTCATCGCGAGCTAAACAAATTATAGAATGACGGATCGAAATAGGATAATCGTGTAATAATAATCGAAATTCAGGATCCTAATCCAAATTCTAAAAACAACTCATACAATCTTTTTTTTTTTTATTCTACTCTTTGTGATATAGCGGCCTGTCGTCAACTGACCAGCACGGTTACCACGGAAACAGGTGGCTCCAACTCCTCCTCTGAGTCGTGCAAGACACCAGTAGCTGTCAGCAATGACGTCATCACCACAATTGACGATGACGACGATTGTAAGGTGCCGTTGTTGTCTTCAGAAAATGAGGGCTCATCTGCTGAAGTGATCTACGTCAGTATGAATCATTTAACAACGGAGGCGACAGGAGGAGATGGGAATGATGTGAAAGAGCGAACAGGTGATTGAAATATAAAACGAATGCCTTTTTAAAATGGAAAACGTGTGGTATGATTTGCAGGCGAACCACCACTGCCTCCAGATCAGGCAAAACCTCCATCTTATCCCACAGATGTTACAAAAGGTTAGAACGAAGTACAATAACTAATTAAAGACATAAGCGTCAACTGAGGTGTTACAATTGATTCTCGATAGTGAGGTGGTAAATCGCCTTACTTCAAATGATTCATTTAGGCAGGTCTCTGATTGGTGGACACAGAGTTTTAAAGGATAACCGATTCACAAATCTGATTTCAGAACAATACTCCGACGATTTGCACAGTGACCCGAACAAGGCTCGGTCACAGTTGCTGGTCAGGCCTGTAATCTTAATTCTAAAACAACTCGTACAATCTTGTTGGTCTGATCTCTCCTTTTCATGATATAGCGGCCTCTCACCAACTGACAAGCACGGTTACCACGGAAACAGGTGGCTCCAACTCCTCCTCTGAGTCGTGCAAGACACCAGTAGCTGTCAGCAATGACGTCATCACCACAGTCGACGATGACGACGATTGTACGGTGCCGTTGTTGTCTTCAGAAAATGAGGGCTCATCTGCTGAAGTGATCTACGTCAGTATGAATCATTTAACAACGGAGGCGACAGGAGGAGATGGGAATGATGTGAAAGAGCGAACAGGTGATTGAAATATAAAACGAATGCCTTTTTAAAATGGAAGCAGGGTGGGCGCGGGAGCGTTGAAGCTCGAAATGCGAAAGTCTAAGGCTTGAATCCTCCTATGGGACTAGGATTCTTTTTTCTTTGTTCTTCGTTCGCGACCAAATATCATTCTTCACACTACATGAATGTCTACTCTTAAAAGTACCACGGCTGCACCAACCTTTTGACTGCTTGATGCAGCTTTTTTAATGGAAGTTAGTATTAAAGGTCATGAGTTAATACAATGTCAGTTTAGGATTATCTTTCTGGTAATAACACGTGTGGTATGATTTGCAGGCGAACCACCACTGCCTCCAGATCAGGCAAAACCTCCATCTTATCCCACAGATGTTGCAAAAGGTTAAAACAAAGTACAATAACTAATTAAAGACATACGCGTCAACTGAGGTGTTACAATTGATTCTCGATAGTGAGGTGGTAAATCGCCTTACTTCAAATGATTCATTTAGGGAGGTCTCTGATTGGTGGACACAGAGTTTTAAAGGATAACCAATTGACAAATCTGATTTCAGAACAATACTCTGACGATTTGCACAGTGACCTGAACAAGGCTCGGTCACAGTTGCTGGTCAGGCCTGTAATCTTAATTCTAAAAGAACTCGTACAATCTTGTTGGTCTGATCTCTGCTTTTCATGATATAGCGGCCTCTCGCCAACTGACAAGCATGGTTACCACGGAAACAGGTGGCTCCAACTCCTCCTCTGAGTCGTGCAAGACACCAGTAGCTGTTAGCAATGACGTCATCACCACAATCGACGATGACGACGATTGCAAGGTGCCGTTGTTGTCTTCAGAAAATGAGAGCTCGTCTGCTGAAATGATCTACGTCAGTAGGAATCATTTAACAACGGAGGCGACAAAAGGAGATGGGAATGATGTTAAAGAGCAACCAGGTGATTGAAATGTCAACAGAATTCTCCATAAAAAGAAAAAAGCGCGAGCGCCAAGGTGTTGAAGCTCGAAATGCGAAAGTCTGTGGTTTGAATTCTCGTATGGGAATAAGATTTTTTTCTCTTTGTCCTTCGCTCGCGACAAAACATCTTTCTTTATATTTCACGTATGTCTAGTTTTAAAAGTACCATGGTTACACCAACCTTATAACTGCTTGATGCAGCTCTTTAAGTGTAAGTAAATGTTAAACTTTAGGAGTCAGTACAATGTAAGTTTATAATTATCTTTCTGGTAGCAACACGCGTGATATGATCTTTGTTCTCTGTTGTGAAATCAATCCTCACGTAGCTCCCCTAAGTGAGGTACGTTAGGAATGATTTGACAACGGAGGCGACAGAAGGAGACAAGAACAATGTTAAAGAACGATCAGGTGATTGAAATGTAAAGAGAATGCTAACTGGACAGAAGCAGTTTGGGCGCTAGAGAGTTGAGGGTCGAAATTGAGGTCTGAGTTTTGAATTCTCCTATGGAACTCAGATTTATCCTTTGTTCTTCGCTCGCGACAAAACATCTTTCTTTATATAACATATATGTCCACTCTAAAAAACACCACGCTTGCACCAACCTTTTGACTGCTTGATGCAGCTCTTTAAATGTAAGTAGCTGATATATTTCATGAGTCAGTACAATGTCAGTTTATAATTATCTCGATGGTAATTACACGCGTGGGGTTATCTGCAGGCGAACCACCCCTGCCTCCTGCTCAGACGAGCCCACCATCTTATTCGACGAACCTTTTCTTTTTTCTAAATCCGTCTTATTCGACGGATTTATAAATACGATGATGTTAGTAGTTATATTTATGAGTCAGTAAAATGTCAGTTAATAATTATCTTTATGGTAATAACGCGCGTGGTACGTATGATCTGCAACTGCAAGCGAACCACCTTTCCTCCTGCTTATACAAACCCTCAATCTTATTCCACGGAGTTAGCACAAGGTTAGGACAAAGTACTTCAATTAAATAAAGACCTATGTGTCAACTGAAGTGCTAAAATTGATACCCGATAGTGAGGTGGTAAGTCTTCTGACTTTAAATGATTCATCTAGGAAAGTCTCCGATTGGTGGATACAAAGCTTTGGAAGATCTCCAACTCACACATCTGACGTTAGGTCATAACTATGCAGAGTTGCACGAAGACCCCAACGAGGCTCCGTCCCAGATCCTTTTCAGGAATAAACAGGCTAAAACGGGCATAAACAGGGAGAAGAGGAGAGTGATTAAGGAACGAACAAAGGTGACAGTGAAATCCTTGGAGGAGAGTGTTTTATTGGCAAAGGATTACACTTCCCAACAGAAACTGAGGGGAAGTGTAAGAGTTGTTTTGATTGCGTGACATGTTGTGTTACAGCTTTAATAATCGTTACTTTTGCTTTCATGTTACTAAGTGATTAAACTATCGATTTTGGAATCATGTGACAAGTAGATGGGTTTTCAGAAGCACGTAGGGAGTAGCTGAGGAGATTTTAAGATTATTAAACACGTTTAATTCTACAACGCGAGTGTACAGTGTCACAGGGAATTGGGGCCGGCAATAAGAAACTTTTGGAATGCATCTAAAGTGTGCAGATATGATGGTGTAAAATGAAAGATAAATGATAGATAATACACGGAAGAGACCATAGTCTGCACTTCTATGTAGTGAAGCCATTTTTCTTTTCTGTGGGATTGGGTGGGGTTATTTGTCGAAAGAGCATTCCCAGGAGGGGGAGGGGGAGGGAGGGCACGAGGAATGAAGAGCAGAACAGTGGAAGGGAACAATGTGAGAGAAATTGTAACTAACACTCTTATGACAAATTGTCACCTGTAAGCAGGTGTAATCTTTATGGCGTTTACAAGGGGAGCTTAGGCAAGCGCGTGGTTAGCGCGAAGGGTAGTTACGTGGGGAGAAGGATCGCTAATCCATTCGCACGTCGCGCGCGTTTTCTTCAAATCTTCTTAAGAACGTCTAAAAAACGCCTTTTTTCAAGTCACACTTGATTTTCTTGTTCGCGTACACAAAATGAATTGTAACTA